TCTTAGGCTGCTGAACACCACGGAGGCATTGCAGGACCTGGCCCTGCTACAAAGCCTCACCTAGAACAAGGCTAGATGTGATAATCACATATCCTCTGAACAAATGTGATAATCACATATCCTCTGAACAAACGTGATAATCACATATCCTCTGAACAGAGACAGCTGTCTCCCAGGGTTTTCCCGATGTTGGGGAAGATGAAACAGGAAAGCCTTATAAATATGATTGTCTGGCAAAAGATTTTGAGAGTATGGAAACTATAAGCGAGATTGAAATGAAAGCAAGCTTTGAGATCCCTCAGTTACTGAACAACTGGAAAACAATGGCATGGCCAGCTGAAGGTGATCCCCTTGTGATGGAACAACACCCTCTGCTTGCAGACAGGCCCAAGGGTCAGAGCAGACCCTACAGCTTGGCAGAAGGGGCCCAAAGAGGAGTTTTTAGGGTTTAAAATGTAACACAGTGTGGTAATGTAATGATTCTTATAGGCTGTGTGTAAATGCTATAGGATTTGTATCTTGGACTAGATTGGTTAGTGGGAATGTCACATGCCCTGTGCCCTTGTAATTAATCAAAATAATTCAGTTTATAAAGCAAAGAATTTGTGCATCTCTCTCCTTTCTCCTTCACCATGCAGCTTACACACACTGCATACAGGATTTCCTTTTGTGGCCTTGTTAATCATGATGCCACATGCTAAAAGATGGAGTAACTCATTTGGTGAGGGATTTTTAATTTTTCATTTTGTTTTTCTCTTTAGGCCTTTTTGAGATTCGTGCCTTGGAGTATTTGGAGCGTATTCCAGAGACGGAGCGAACTGGAATGAACAAAATCCTTCGAAGTCTTGGTAAAGGAACACCCCTTTTGTTCATTGTTAATTTTTTTTTACTAATTGTAGCTATTGAATAATTAATTTGTTACAAAGGAGAGGAAGGAAGGCTCTTTCTGTCCTTCTGCACCTGGGTTCCCTTGTTTACATTTACTCCTTCAGGGGACACTGAACACTGCATAAGATTTGTTGGAGATTTTTTCAGAAAT